AGGAATTTCAGTAATAGTTGCAAGTTAGACATGAGAGTTAAAGTATATTAAGAATGAGTTAAATTATGATAAAAGTGTGTATTGGCAATAAGTAATATAAAATTGAAATAAGGAATAGACGGGAGGTCGGGTCTATAGTGTTAAGAGAGCCAGTGTGGTGTAGTGGTTAAGAGCGGTAGTCTCGTAATCTGGTGAACCGGGTTCGCGTCTCCGCTCCTCCACATGCAGCTGCTGGGTGACCTTGGGCCAGTCACACTTCTCTGAAGTCTCTCAGCCCCACTCACCTCACAGAGTGTTTGTTGTGGGGGAGGAAGGGAAAGGAGAATGTTAGCTGCTTTGAGACTCCTTAAAGGGAGTGAAAGGTGGGATATCAAATCCAAACTCTTCTTAAGACCAACTTACATTTTATTGTTTGTTAAAAAAATTGTGTTTATTGTTATTCCTGTGTGTAATTTTCTATTTGTGTTTTCCTTTTTTTGTTGCATTAATAAATAAAAATAATAATTATTAAAAATAATAATAATAAACCATCAAAGATTTATGAAGTGCTCCGAACGGACCTCTCCAAACTGAGCACATGGGTGGTAAAACGGCAAATGCAGTTCAGCGTAAACAAGTGTAAAGTGATGTGTGTTGGGACAAAATGTCTATATACAGTCGTGGAATCTGAATTGAGACTTTCAGGAGACAGTCCCCCACACCGTTTTACTTGAATATGAAATTTACCACCCTTAGTGGCTTTCACTGGGTGACCTTTGACCCTTGGCAATTCCTGTGATTCTGACAGTCTCCTCTCTCTCCCCTTCAGCCATGTGGGACACCACCCTGAAACAGCTGAGATTGCCGCTTTGCAAGAGGCCCACCGCCATGATGGCCAAGCGCAGCTCTGGGGAGGAGGAAGAGGAGGGAAGACGAAATCTCCAGCTCGGAGAAGAAGAGGGATGACGAGAAAGACCGGGATGCAGACGAAGAAGGCGAGGAGGAAGAAGAACCGCACTCGGCGCCCAAGAGCGGGCCTAGCCAGGCCTGGCCCTTCTAGGAAGGGAAAGTTTGCTGGCCGGAACTTGTTTGCTTTGCTTGGGGAGGATGAATGTTAGCAGCTTCCCCTGATGGACAGACTGAGAGGGGATGGATGGCTCTCTCCTCTCCCCCATTCTGCTCCCGTCTCTACCCCCCCCCCCACCCCATGTTCATTCTCAAGCTCCAGAGCCGCTGTATATCAATAAAGGTGATGTTTATTTCCTGGCGCACCTCCCATCACTGTGGGGAGGGCATAGGGCAAGGATAAGAATGCAGGGTCGGCCTGACATCCATCAGTTCTCTGGCTCCGACAGCAGCTATCCAGGCATTTCTGCAAAAACTCGCAATCAGGACATGAAGGCGAGAGCCACCCTCTCTTTGTGACCCCCACCCTGTCTGAGGAAATCCCGTATACAAATAGCCAATTCAATTTCCTAGCTGCCAGCCTTTATGTGGCCAAAATGGAACCCTTCCTCCAAGGAAGAGAGGGAGGTACCAGTAACCTTGAGGCAGCTCCACTGGTTACGTATGTCCAATAAATTTTAGGTGGGGGGGAAAGATAGCCAAAGCCACGCAAGTAGAACTGGACATGGTCTGTGGATAGAGAAAACTGGCTGTGGGGGTGGGGCGCTGGTTGACAGCAGGAATGGAAAACTGGAGAGGGATGGAAAGCAATGGAGTGTGCTGGAAAAGGGTAATGTTTGGATCAGAAGCACTCAGTGCCTCAGCATTTTCATCCATGTCTTTACTGGACAGGCTGCTCTGGTGCTTATCACTGGAGATAGAGAGAGTACCTTGCCTTCAACTTCTTCTCAATGGCAGCATCCCCCTTCCTTCATCCACAGCCATAGATGACGATTGCTGATCCCGATGGGGGTTGTAATTCAGCAACATCTGGAGGGCCAGAGGTTCCTACACTTACTTGCAGGCTCCATCCTAAGACCGAGTTCATCAGAGTTGGGTCCTTGTTGACTAAGAGCCCCGGGGATGATGGGAGTTGTAGTCCAACAACATCTAGGGACCCAAGACTGAATGACGTCGGCTTGTAGGACATATTGCTGCCTAGGCTAAGCAGTCCTGGGTCTTGGGAGGAGGCCACACGTATACCACCTTGAGTTTCAATGATGGAAGAAAGGAAGGATATGGGCAGCAGAAAAGTAGAGTGTTTTTTTAAATAAATCAAGGCCCTGGTTGCGTTTTTGCTGAGCCCTGCTATATAATGCCCCGCAGGACTCTGCCTCATGTTGGATTTTGGGCAGGGGGGAGGTGTGTGCCAGGATACTGTTTTGATCCAGCTTGCATTTTTTCTGTATAAAGAATGTAAATCCATTTTAACTGATTTTAATAGCATTCTGATATTGCTTTAAAACTGCCCAGCAACACCTTCAGGTCATGTGGGTTTCCCTTGTTGATTCCAGTATCCATCCGGTCAAGACCAGACCCAGAGGCAGGGATAGTCCTTCAAACAATGATTAATCCTGCCTCCTTGGTAATGACATGGTCTGGTCTTAGTGTAACTCCTCCTCCTGCCCATGATCACTGAGATCAGATGTCCCAGTGCAGAATAGAAACTTGCACCAGCCATTCTGTTGGCTGGGGCCCACTCCCATGCAGCCCTGATCCTGCCCCTTAAAAACAAAACACAAACTATACAACCAATAAACAACAAAAAAGAAAAACAAAATCCTGAACCAGATATCCACCCCCCCAACACAGCAAAAAAAAGGGGGGGGAGAAAAAAATTAAAATGTCACTAAACTGCTAAGGGCATTTTTAAAACACATTATACACTCATTTCTATAGCATGTGAGCCTTTGTGTCAGTGTCAGGTAAACAGGTATTTTGTTTATATTGGCGGTGGGAGAGACCAGAGTGTCCAGGTGGTTTTTGGTTGCAGGATATTCGTCAAAGCAATGCCCAATCTCTTTTTTTTAAAATAATATTTATTATTTTTAAACACTACAAAAAAAGAAGGAAGAGAAAGAAGAAAAAGAAAACAATACAATACAATTATATAAACTTACATAACACAACACTAATACAATAAGCTAAACAAAACCAATTTAAAAACACACATCTTACCATTTCAATATCTTATCTTTCATTAACTTGTTTCAACGACCTGCTCAACACCTCCCTTTTTGTATTCCACTTCTATTAATTGTTTCAGCAAATCCTTTCCATCTTCCTCTATTTTCTGTCATAATTTATCTTAACATATTTTAACCTTATTTTCCCTTTAATACTCTAATTAATCATTTATACTTAATTCCTTATAACATTTCTACTAAAGCCGTATAACTTCATTCCAACATTTTTCTAACACTCATTAATATTACATTATTTCTATAAAATAGTCTTTAAACTTTTTCCATCTTCTTCCACCGTCTCCTCTCCCTGGTCTCGATTCTGCCAGTCCTTTCCCAATCTCTGTGTTGTTTCAGGAGTGACCCCCAATGGTTGTTTACACATGCAAGGGATCCATCGCTTGCTGCAGTCAATATGTGGCAACTGTGTGCGTCTAAACTCCTGGGAGGTAGAGACCCAAATCTGGACCAATACAAGGGGATGGCAGATCTCTAGCTAGGGATAGCCCCAAGCTCCTTCTGCCCACTGACCAGAAAAGCCATATCCCCCACAAAAAAAGCCCACCCTGAGATTCCTTCTCCTTTCACTCTCCAGTTTTACAAAGGCAAACTCCTATTAGGCAAAGGGGGTTGCAGAACTTCTAACAACATTTTGCTTTAAAAAAAATTGTGGTGGTTCCCTCATTGCGAATAAGTGAGGTTCATAGACCACAGATGAAACAGTTTGGAAGGGACAAGAGGATGTTTCTAGCCGAACCCCTGCAATGCAGGAATCTTTTTGAAAAGGTGGGGCTCGAACCCACAACCTCAAGAAACTCATGCTCTACCAGCTGAACTATCCCAGGACTCAGATCATCCCAGTGGGGATGCAAACAATGAATCCGGGAGCAAAGATTTTTGTATGAATATATTACCTCAAGTTATTCTGAGCCTCCCAAATGCACTGGTAAAAGAAATTTTCAGATTGAACAAGTGGTATCATCATCATTATTCCCCAGCCAATTGGGGCAGCTTCCAGCAAAATATAAAAACATAGTAAGACATCAAACATTAAAAACTTCCTGAATCTGCTTCTTTGAGAGAAGCTGACAAATTTAGGACGGATGCTCTATATCAACTCAAAGACAGGGAACCAGGCAGAGAGCCTTCTTGGTAGCGGCACCTGCTCTGTGGAACGCTCTCCCGTCAGATGTCAAGGAAATAATTATCTATCTGACTTTTATAAGACAACTGAAGGCACCCCTGTATGGAGAAGCTTTTAATGTTTGATGTTTCATTGGTTTTTAAAAAATAATCTGTTGGGAGCTGCCCTAGTGGCTGGGGAAACCCAGCCAGATGAGCGGGTATAAATAATGTTGTTGTTATAATATTATTATTATGCTTAATTGAATAGCAGTTCCCGGAAGCCGCTGGAGGGGAGAGATGCTCTGGAGCTCCCATCCTCCTTGCAGGCTTGGCCACCGTGAGGAGACAGTGCTGAGATTCCTGCATTGCAGGGGGTTGGACTAGATGACTCTCAGGGTCCCCTTCCATCTCAACGATTCTATGATTCTAACAGGGTGCAGGACTAGATGGCTAGATCAAACTACAGGGCTCTTCGTGTGGTGTGTGTGTGTGTGTGTGTGTGTGTGTGAGAGAGAGAGAGAGAGAGAGAGAGAGAACCTCTTCTTTGCAAAGAGGCTGAATCAGCTGCAATACCCCCACACTTGAACCACTGCTTCCCTGCCTGCTCTCTCTCCACCCCCAACCCCAGTTCCATGGTTATTGCATTGCATTGCACACACACCCCAAAGCTTGCTGCACCCCAAGGCGCTTTGCACTCAGCGGATTCCTTGCAGGACAAGGGCAGTGCAGGACGCAGAGAGGGCGGGTCAGCTGTTCCACTTAAGCCGGGCCCCCTTTCCCAGGTCAGTATGGAACAGCCCCACCTTCTCTTTCTCTCTCTCTATGGCAGCTTGCACTCTCTGGCTTTAACCCTTAAGGCAACGAGCATCTGTTCCCTATATTCGAAGCCCAGGTTCCCTCCCTTCCCTCCCCATTGGCTGGGTCCTGCAATTATCCCGCCCCCGGAAATATCCTGCCTCCCTGGCGGGGGCTCCCATTCCCGCCCCCGCTGCTCAGGGTCGCTGCCACCATCGCCAGGATTTCGGGTGAGTGCAAAGCCAGCGGCGGGGAAGGAGGGAAGGGGCTTGGCAAGGGGTGGGGGGTCCAGGATGAGAAGCCCCGGGACGGGGAGAAGAAGAGAAGGGAGGAAAGGGAGCTGGTCTTTTTAACGGGGTCTTGAAGGTGGAGGGGTGTGTGTTCCGTTGTGGAAAGAGAGAAGCTTCCTCCTGCCCGGATCTGGTGCAAAGGAAGTTGCAGGGAATTAGGCGGGAAAGGGGAGAGGGCTGGGTATTGCAGACCAGCCTCGCCATAGTAGTAGTAGTAATAATAATAATAATAATAATAATAATAATAATAATAATAATAATAATAATAATAAATGCTATTTATACCCCGCCCCCATTTTCTGGGATTCCCCAGCCACTCTGGGCGGCTTCCAACAAAATAAGAAAAACCAAAAGCATCCAAACATCCAAGTCTTCCGTTTTGTAGAGGAGATGGGGACATGGATTGCTGGATGGCAGAGGGAGAAAGAGGAAAAGATGGGGAGGAAAACAAAGCCAGGGGGGTCCTGGCAGGAAGAAGGAAGGGCTGAGGCCTTCTCCAAAGAGCTCTTTGTTCTTGAACTCCTTGCATAAAGTAGTGGGGGCAGGGCCGGATTGAGGTTTGATGAGGCCCTAAGGTACTGGAGGTAGCTGTCTTTTGTCAACAACAAATTGTTGCTGTTTTTTGTGTTGAATATATGCTATATGGTAATTTATGGACCTAATAGGTATCTAAACCATTTGCACATAGTAGAGTATGTATTTTCTCAAAGTAATTGTTGAGCTGAAATACAATTACTAAGAATATTAATAGTGAAATAATTATTAAGCTCTAACTTAAAATGATTTTGTTATTCATAACAAACTTAATGCAAACACATTGGCATTTGGCAATAACAAAAGTTCCTTTAGAAACACAATTTACAAAGACTCCTAATCTAGTCCTAGAAACTTGCTATAATAATAGGTGTAAATATCTGATGCAAATTACTAATAATTATAAATAGCATTATTAATATGAAATTAAGTGTTATAACCTGTACAATGCAATTTGTAGTTAATACAATGCATTTTTTATATCAGTATCAATATTACCATAATAGTCCACATTCTTCATTGGGATAGCAGACCTTTGTACCCTGTTACACTTAGTGAGTGTAAAACACAGTATTTCTAGTAATATGTTGCATTTATAAATAATACCAATACTATACACACCTGTACATAAAATTATTTTACAGGACTAATTGTATTACTGCATCTACCCAATACCCATTCAACTGTAAAATTTTATCATTATTCATTGTGTACTGTGTATACAAACAGTACACAAACATGATCTAAATTACAATACTTTCCTTCTTGCCTTGCCAAAGCAAAGTCATTGATGATATCATCAAATGATAAACTGCTTAGCTTGTCACTATCTATGTACATGAGGCTGAAGTAACATAATTTATCTTGAGACATTGTTGTTCAAATTCATTTTTTATCCTCTTCAGCTGAGAAACGGATCTTTACAAATGGCAATTTGCAATCATCATTCAAAGAAACATTGTCAGAATTGCTTCTACATTAGGGAATGCTGATTGGACATCGTTGTTGTTGTTTAGTCACTTAGTCGTGTCTGACTCTTTGTTAACCAATGGACCAGAGCACGCCAGGTACTCCTGTTTTCCACTGCCTCCTGTAGTTTGGTCAAACTCGTGTTAGTAGCTTTGAGAGCACTGTGCAACCATCTCGTCCTCTGCATATAAGTTAAATAAGCAAGGAGACAATATACAGCCTTGTCGTACTCCTTTCCCAATTTTGAACCAATCAGTTGTTCCATATCCAGTTCTAACTGTAGCTTCTTGTCCCACATAGAGATTTCTCAGGAGACAGATGAGGTGATCAGGCACTCCCATTTCTTTAAGAACTTGCCATAGTTTGCTGTGGTCGACACAGTCAAAGGCTTTTGCATAGTCAATGAAGCAGAAGTAGATGTCTTTCTGGAACTCTCTAGCTTTCTCCATAATCCAGCGCATGTTTGCAATTTGGTCTCTGGTTCCTCTGCCTCCTAAATCCAGCTTGCACTTCTGGGAGTTCTCGGTCCACATACTGCTTAAGCCTTGCCTTGTAGAATTTTAAGCATAACCTTGCTAGCGTGTGAAATGAGTGCAATTGTGCGGTAGTTGGAGCATTCTTTGGCACTGCCCTTCTTTGGGATTGGGATGTAGACTGATCTTCTCCAATCCTCTGGCCACTGCTGAGTTTTCCAAACTTGCTGGCATATTGAGTGTAGCACCTTAACAGCATCATCTTTTAAAATTTTAAATAGTTCAGCTGGAATACTCATCACTTCCACTGGCCTTGTTATTAGCAGTGCTTTCTAAGGCCCATTTGACTTCACTCTCCAGGATGTCTGGCTCAAGGTCAGCAACCACACTACCTGGGGTGTATGAGACATCCATATCTTTCTGGTATAATTCCTCTGTGTATTCTTGCCACCTCTTCTTGATGTCTTCTGCTTCTGTTAGGTCCTTACCACTTTTGTCCTTTATTATGGTAATCTTTGTACAAAATGTTCCTTTCATATCTCCAATTTTCTTGAACAGATCTCTGGTTTTTCCCATTCTATTGTTTTCCTCTATTTCTTTGCATTGCTCGTTTAAGAAGGCCTTCTTGTCTCTCCTTGCTATTTTTTGGAAATCTGCATTCAATTTCCTGTATCTTTCACTATCTCCCTCACATTTTGCTTGCCTTCTGTCCCGCTATTTGTAAGGCCTCGTTGGACAGCCACTTTGCTTTCTTGCATTTCCTTTTCATTGGGATGGTTTTCATTGCTGCCTCCTGTATGATGTTACGAGCCTCCATCCATAGTTCTTCAGGCACTCTGTCCACCAAATCTAAATCCTTAAATCTCTTCCACTGTGTATTCATAAGGGATTTGATTTCGATTGTATCTTACGGACCAGTGGCTTTCCTACTTTCTTCAGTTTAAAGCTTGAATTTTGCTATAAGAAGCTGATGCTCTGAGCCACAGTCAGCTCCAGGTCTTGTTTTTGCTGATATAGAGCTTCTCCATCTTTGGCTGCAAAGAATATAAGTAATCTGATTTCAATGCTGCCCATCTGGTGATGTGCATGTGTAGAGTCATCTCATGTGTTGTTGGAAAAGAGTTCTTGTTATGATCATTTGTTCTCTTGAGAGAACTCTATTAGCCTTTGCACTGCTTCGTTTTGAACTCCAAGGCCAAACTTGCCAGTTGTTCCTTTTATCTCGTTGACTCCCTGCTTTAGCATTCCAATCCCCTATGATGAGAAGAACATCCTTCTTTGGTGTCACTTCTAGAAGGTGTTGTAAGTCTTCATAGAATTGGTCAATTTCAGTTTCTTCAGCACCAGTAGTTGGTGCATAAACCTGGATTACTGTGATGTTAAAAGGTCTGCCTTGGATTTGTCTTCATAGAATTGGTCAAGTTCATTTTGTTGAGCATTGGTAAGGTAAAGGGACCCCTGACCATTAGGTCCAGTCATGGCTGACTCTGGGGTTGGGGCACTCATCTTGCTTTACTGGCCGAGGGAGCTGGCATTTGTCTGCAGACAGTCGTGTGGCCAGCATAACTAAGCCGCTTCTGGCGAACCAGAGCAGCGCATGGAAACACCATTTACCTCCCCGCTGAAGCGGTACCTATTTATCTACTTGCACTTTGATCATAGAATCATAGAATCATAGAGTTGGAAGAGACCACAAGGGCCATCGAGTCCAACCCCCTGCCAAGCAGGATGTGCTTTCGAACTGCTAGCTTGGCAGGAGCAGGGACCGAACAACGGGAGCTCACCCTGTTGCGGGGATTCAAAGCGCCGACCTTCTGATTGGCAAGTCCTAGGCTCTGTAATTTAACCCACAGCGCCACCCGCGTACCTCAGCATTGGTAGTTGGTGCATAAACCTGGATTACTGTGATGTTAAAAAGGTCTGCCTTCATTTGTATCGAGATCATTCTATCATTAGGCGCACAGCCCCCATGGGGGCCGGCTCTCCTGGACGCTGTCTCTGATCACGCGAACTGGTTGCAGGAGCTCGAAATAAACAATTAGAGAGAAGCAAATGCACATATTTCGAGTGAAAATCGGGAGTTAAGACTGCTAATTGAAGTGACCTCTGAAGTAGAGCGATGGGCTGATTCAACAATATATCAAGAAGAAGATACATCAAAGGGTCGGTATGTCAGAACGGGACTGAAAGGGGGGGAACCTTTCTTTTTTTATCTCGTGTGAGTACCTAACAACCCTCCCCCAAGAAGAATCGTTGCAATTACTGATTACAAGCAGGATGATTAAGATCTGTGTGGAAATAAATTACTAATCAAAGACATGGCTTGTGGAATATTGGAAAGGAATGAAAGGCCTTTGTGGCGCAGTTATAAAAAGAGATTTGTTAGGGCAGGCCTGCCTACAGGATTTATGATCGAGGGGAACAGACCATGGCTTGTTATTACATCGAACTGTGAGTTTGACCTGGCAGAACCCCCTAAGAAGATTGAGGAGAGACTGACAGGTCTGCGAGAATTAATGGACAGGCTTTAAGAATGTTTTGTACGGAAGTGTGGAAATGGCGTCTGTCTGTATTGAATATGGCTCTTGGAGGAATGGAAAATCCACACAGGATATAACGTTTGTTTTCAACCCGCTTGTGGAGACTATCAGAGGTCACAAAGAAAGGAGTATATGACAACAATAAGAAGATGAGGAAAATAATAAAGAGAAGATGGAATAGAACTGAGAACTGTGAATACCATTTGGACAGAACTGTGATCATTAAAGCAGCAGCAAGAGAGATGTTTGGATCCCTTTCTGAGCTCCGAAGCATGGGTACCCCCAACAAAATTTAAAAATTTGGCTGTGTAAGTTTGGAATTAATGTGATTTGATTGGTTTGTTAATAAAATTATATTGAAAGAGATCATTCTATCATTTTTGAGATTGCATCCCAGTACAGCTTTTGCCACTCGTTTGTTGACTATGAGGGCCACTCCATTTCTTCTATGGGAATGCTTTGTCGCACAGTAGTAAGATATGATGATCATGGCCAAAATTGAATTCCCCATTCAGGTCCATTTTAGTTGCACTGATGCCGCAGGATGTCAATACTTATTGCCTTGCCGATTCATTTTTGACCGACATCCAGCTTACCATGGTTCATGAAATCTTACATTCCAGGTTCCTATGCAATATTTTTCTTTGCAGGCACTGGAATTGTCCTTTCACTTCCAGCACATCCGCAAACTGAGCGACCTTTCGGCTTTGGCCCAGCTGCTTATGCAGCTCTGGATCTAATTGTTAACTTGGTCCTCGCTCTCCTCAGTAGCATGTTGGATGCCTTCCTACCTGAGGGGTTCATCTTCCAGTGTCATAACTTTTATACGACCATGGAGTCTTCTCGCAGGGATACTGGCGTGGCTTGCTGGTTCCTGCTCCAGGTGGATCCCGTTTAGTCAAAACTCTCCATTTGACTTGTCTGTCTTGGGTGGCCCTGCACGGCATAGCTGCCATAGTGTCTCTGAGTTTATTCAAGCCCCTTTGCCATGACAAGGCAGTGATCCATGAAGGACACGGTCATTAAATATTACTTGGTACAGATCCTGATGTGTCAGATTATCAAATCATCTACATATTCTTATTGTCTTTCCTTACTAATTTTTTCTTCCATCCAGTACTTCACATTTTAATCTAGGCATATTAGCATATCTTTTTTTGAGCAATATTTTGCCATATATTCATCAAAACATTTCCACTCCTTTTTAAATTTTTGATTCGACTGATTTCTTATTATCGCAGTTAATTTTGCCAGAATTAAATATTCATTTAGTTTACAAATCCATTCCTCCTTTGTGGGTATAGTTTTTGACTTCCACCTAGCAGCAATCACTATTCTAGCAGCTGTACTTGCCTACGGAAAAATTCTCTCTCCCCCCCCCCGTGGTATCTCATCATCTGTCAATTCAAGGAGATATGTCTCTGGTTTCTTTGTTATTGATATTTTCAACATCTTCTTTAGTTCTTTGTGTACTACTATCCAAAATTTATTAATTTCCTCACAACTCCACCACATATGTGGTCCAGGCATTGGTATTTATATAATTTCAAACAAAGCATTTCTATTTCAACCAATCATATACATCAGAGATGTCCAAGCGCTGGACCGCAATTGACAGGTAGACCTCTGTGTTGTTTTGGGTCGATTGTGAGACCTTTGAAGGCCGCGCCCCCTTTCCGCAAGAACTTCTGCATATGCTCCTATTTCTGTTTTTGCTTGTTTTAATGTTTGTTGTTGCAAAAAGAATTAAATTTTTATTGCATCCCCCGCCTCCTTAAAAAAGTCCCTTTGCAGTTGCACGTTCCTGATATTCATCATTACCTCCTTTTATTATAATACACACGCGCAACGAGCGCTGGCAATTTCTGCTGAATATGTTCTGATGCCTACCACGTTCTGTTACGTTGTGTTGGTGTGCATGTTGGGAACCTGTGTTACATGCAGCCATTTGCATCATATAGCAACTCATGTTCAGCTTTCAGCTGTATCTTTGTGATGCTCATATTAGCTGTATTTCTGCCCCTATTGGGGGGCGGCAACTTGCAAAATAATCAGTTTCATAAAGCACAGGCTACCATAACTTCTGTATTAGAAGCACACTCAAGGATTTAAAGGGGTAGACGTTATCACATTTATTGTGGCCCTTTGGGCAACTGCCACAAGGCCACTACTGCCCATACCATGCCAGCCTTAGGAAGGGAGAAGGGACAGGCAGATGGAAGGAATTGCCAAAGGTGTTTGAAAATGGGTGGAGGCTCTTGGGAAGCAGGTGCCCAATAGGGGATTCTACAGGGTCAAAAAAATCCCTGCAGGGGCTCTGAGACTCCCTTGACTTCTTCCTTCCTCCCAGGAAGCTACAACTTGCCTTGGCTTATTTGCTTCTCAAGATGTTGAACCTGCAAACCTGGTCAGGATGGACAGAGGAATATGGACAGCTGACCTGCTCAAGCTGTCTCCCGCATCCCTCCCTGCAACCTCTGATCATCCCCTCCCAGGGCCCTCGGAGAAATCTGTTGAGTTCCAGGGGAGAGGAGATGGGGACATGGATGGCTGGATGGTGGAGGGAGAAAGAGGAAAAGATGGAGAGGAGACCAAAGGCAGGAAGGGCCAGGCAGGAAGAAAGGAAGGAGGGAGGGAGGGGTGAGGCCTTTTTCAAAGCAGCTCTTTGTTTTTGGAATCCCTTTCATAAAGTAGTGGGGGCAGATTTTCTTTCTCTGTGCTTTTAAATCTCTGGTGTTATTTCCACTGCAGGATTAAGTGACGAAAATGATGTTGCACACCAATCCAGGAAAATGGGTGAAGGGGGCTATGGTAATGCTTCCCGTCATTATGTATTCTTCATATATTTAAATAGTTTATATTACTTTTATTTTTTTAAAGACTGGATCAGAGTGATACATTCCACCAGCAGAAAAATACAGTAGATGTATGCACCTCCCCAGTTTCGTGGGCTTTCGGGACAAAGGACCTGTTATCATGATACACAATTCATGTGGCTGGAGGCTCTACACATAGGATTGGGCATATGAAGACCAAGTGGCACCAGCTTTCCTAATCAAGAGTCCCCTTTGTCAGACTGCAGCCCACAAAAGCTTAAGCCATAATACATTTATGTGCCTTTCAGAGCTGCAGAAGATGAATAAACAGAAGCATAGTTAATCTATGGACTTCTATCCTACTGGAAACAGTGACTGCCAGCAAGTTTGATATCTTGGGGGGAAAAGGGATTAGGCTGGTGTCTGTGCTCTGCGCTTGCGGTCCTAGGCAATAATGCTTCTTAATACTAGTTTCTGGAAAGCACAGGAGAGCAGAGGGCTTTTGGGCTGAAATCTTGCTTGCTGGTTTCCCCCGGGCATTTGCTTGGCCACTGTGAAAACAGGATGCTGGACTAGGTGGGCCTTTACCCAATGCAGCAGGCTCTGTTTAGGTTCTAATATGTTGTAATATTTTTACACTTACATGTTACATAAGAACAGTTCAGTTTTACTTCTTACTCATAGGGGAGACTGCTATTGGAGCCTGTGATCCTTTCCTCACTTGAAAAAGAAAAAGACAGATGTTTCTCATAAGACAGTTCCACCGTAGATCTTTATTATAAAATGATGGTGCTTTCTTAAGTGTGAATGGAGTGATCATGGGTTTCTCTTGCCATTATCTCATCTGCATTCCTAAAAATTTGGGACATGGAGAGGACAGTTGAGAATGGAGAGGGTGTTAAAATAAGAGAAGGTGCACATGGGAATCGACGTGTGTTCAGTTCCTTTCAAGTCTAACAGGATTCTCTCTCCCCCGCCCCACTCCCAAACAGGTGAGGAAGACGATGGTCAGAATTCTACGGAGCCATCTGTGAATTCATTGGGAAGAACAAAGAAACAGTTTAAATGCAGGGAATGTGGAATGTGCTTTAGTCACTGTGGAAGAATGAGGATACACCAACAAACTCACACAGGAGAGAATCCATTTAAATGCATTGAATGTGGAAAGAGCTTCAGTCATAGTGGCAATCTTAGAACACATCAACGAACTCACACGGGGGAGAAACCATTTCAATGCACTGAATGTGGAAAGAGCTTCAGCATAGTGGCAATCTTAGAACACATCAACGAACTCACACGGGGGAGAAACCATTTAAATGTATTGAATGTGGAAAGAGCTTCAGTCGTAGTGGAATCCTTAGAACACATCAACGAACTCACACAGGGGAGAAACCATTTGAATGCATTGAATGTGGAAAGAGCTTCAGTCGTAGTGGAGTCCTTAGAATACATCAACGAACTCACACAGGGGAGAAACCATTTGAATGCATTGAATGCATTGAATGTGGAAAGAGCTTCCCTTGTAGTGGAGCCCTTAGAAGACATCAACGAACTCACACGGGGGAGAAACCATTTCAATGCACTGAATGTGGAAAGAGCTTCAGTTGTAGTGGAAACCTTAGAACACATCAACGAACTCACACTGGGGAAAAACCATTTAAATGCATTGAATGTGGAAAACTCTTTAGTCATAGTGGACACCTCAGAACACATCAACGAACTCACACGGGGGAGAAACCATTTAAATGCATTGAATGTGGAAAACTCTTTAGTCATAGTGGACACCTCAGAAACACATCAACGAACTCACACGGGGGAAAACCATTTAAATGCATTGAATGTGGAAAAACTTCAGTCGTAGTGGACCTTAGAATACATCAACGAACTCACACGGGGAGAAACCATTTCAAATGCACTGAATGTGGAAAGAGATTCAGTCAAAGTGGAACCTTAGAACACATCAACGAACTCACACGGGGAGAAACCATTTAAATGCATTGAATGTGGAAAAATCTTCAGTCGTAGTGGAGACCTCAGAACACATCAACGAACTCACACGGGGGAGAAACCATTTAAATGCATTGAATGTGGAAAAATCTTCAGTCGTAGTGGAGACCTCAGAAGACATCAACGAACTCACACGGGGGAGAAACCATTTAAATGCATTGAATGTGGAAAAATCTTCAGTCAAAGTGGAGACCTTAGAATACATCAACGTACTCACACTGGGGAAAAACCAATTAAATGCATTGAATGTGGAAAAATCTTCAGTCGTAGTGGAGACCTTAGAATACATCAACGTACTCACACTGGGGAGAAACCATTTAAATGCATTGAATGTGAAAAATCTTCAGTCGTAGTGGAGACCTCAGAACACATCAACGAACTCACACGGGGGAGAAACCATTTAAATGTATTGAATGTAGAAAGGCTTCAGTCAAATGGAGCCCTTAGAATACATCAACGAACTCACATGGGGGAGAAACCATTTCAATGCACTAAATGTGGAAATAACTTCAGTGAAAGTGGAAAACTAGAATACATCAACAAACTCACATGGCAGAAACGATTTAAATGTATGGAGTGTGGAAAGAGCTTCAGTTGTAGTGGAGACCTTAATATTCATGAACGAATTCACACAGGTGAAAAGCCATATATATGTATGCAGCGTTCAACTCTAGTTTCAC